GGACCAAATTACCTACTGACGCAATTCTTAAAATGTGTTATTGTTAAGTCACACATGACTGTATAAGGAAGATAAGCTACATTTCCTCTGTGAGCTCAGGACCTTTTCTCATTATCTAACACGGTAACAAGAGTGCTGGGATCCCAAGGTTTCCATTCAATCTCTACTCAGAAAGTCCTTGCTTTAGGGAGCATGTGCATTTCAGCCAAGTTTACTAAAAAACAAAACACAAATCTAGTTCTCCACTGACTTCAACTAAAAGATTAAAAAAAAAAAATGTTCCCAGTAACAAAATTCCTAACAATCTGAACTGAGAACTTTTTAAAAAGACTTTCATAAAAAAGCTGGGCTTCCAGGAGATTTTTTAATTTCCATATCCATGTTCTGGGATAGTTCATTTCTCCACTCTGGGAACTTAAAACTGGTCTGAATGCTTTCTATTCCTCCCCGTTGGTCATTTGCAGTTTCCAGGAGAAGTGGCTTGGAGATAATGACCTGCCAGAAGATATGCTATCTGTCGTGTCCAGACAGCTCCCAGCTTACCAGCCAGGGTCCCAGGTGCTTATATTTAGGCCAGGCCCTGTCACCAAAATGGCTATGAAAAACAATGCAGGATCTGACTCCAGGGCTTGCTCCTGCTGGATTTGGTTACCTTATTCAAAGGCTTTTTGTGCTTAAAGAACAAAACAAAACAAAACAAAGCAAAAGCTGCCTACATGGCCTGGAATCTTATTAATAAGATATTCGCTTGGATTAATTAAGCAACTTGCTTTTGTGCTGTACACACTAGCTGAGACTAGCTTCCATCTCATCTGTGTAATGATGAAGTTGGGTCAGATCCACGTTTTTAGCCTATGGTCCTAATATAGGAATCCTACAGTGACTTCATTAATGCAGATTTGTATGAGAATCCTACCGTGGTTTTGTAAATGCAGATTTCTAGGTCCTACTCTGGAACTACTGTAAATAGATGCTAAAACATGGGGTCTGGAAGTTCCAAATTTAGCCATGTCTGTAGGTGATTCTGGCGCAGTTCGAGGACCACTGAACTCAGTTAAGACAGCTAATACTTTACATTTATTCACCCTTGGGAGTGAACTAGTTCAATCCATTCATTTCCTTCTGACCTCTTCACTGAACTCTGCTGGATGGAAGAAATGAGAATTTAGGGGGGTGGGGAAGGAGGCAGGTGACTCTGGAGTTAGACACACTGAGACTCATGGTGGGGCTTGGTTGGGGGCTGGAAGTTGTAATCTCAATGCGTGCCCTATCCTTCTCCTTTGGAATGGAACAGAAACTCGGTGGGACTCAGATGGGACTGGCTTTTGTGAGCTGGAACCAGATTCCTAGGGCCATTGAGTCTCGTGTGAGTAGCCTCCCTCTGGATTCCCAATTGTCCTTTTGAGTAGACTCCTGAGGAAAACCAGGTCCCCTTGAACCTGGCAGAAGTATAGTTGGGGAGCAGTTCAGAAGTGAGGGAAAAGGACTCCTGCAGTGTGTTCCAAACCAAATTTTCCTTCTGTAAGACTAAGTTTTGCCACAGACTCTTGAAACAGATGAGAAGAGCTCTGTCTTACCCCCCAAACTCAAAATTCCCCACAAGGTAGGCCATTTCCCCGTGGACGGGCAGCAGGAAAACTCCAAGTTAGGTGGGCAATGTGAGGATGGGTGGCTTGAAGCAGGAATGCCCTTAAGTAGAATCGTCTGGCTTTATCACCGGCACAGCAGCACTCAGCATAGCTTGGAGGAACAAGCCTTATTTATTCTTGTGTGACTTATTTTTTCATTATTATTAAAGAAAGTCTCTTGGGGGTGACATGCTCCAGAGAGCAGTCAAAAGGTAAAAGATGACATTTACAGAAATCCATTCTTTCCTTTTTCTACTTCACTGCTTTATTGACTTTTCTTATTCAATCAAATCCTATTTACAGCTACACATCCCATTTCAGGAACTGCCAAGGCAATGGATAGCCTGTTCTTCCTGAACTGTGCTGACACCTCCCTCCCTTTTCTGCCATGTCTTTATACTGGAAGGCCTGGGGTCTTTGGTTGGATTCTGGTGTGATTCAAGTACACTAACCTCAGTTAAGACTGCTCAAACTGTGGGTTTGTTCATAATTTGAGTAACTGGTTGAATCCATCCATTTTCAGAAAGGTGTGCTAGACAGTCTTCATTTGGATCCTAGCACATAGGAACCAATGAATTTGTCCTTTATCCTGATATTATTTTTCCTCATGACTTCCTCATCAAGAACCTAGCTTAGCAGTGCCATATATGGTGATGAATTGTAGCTAGATCAACCTTTTTGACGGTCATAGTAAAAGAAGGAGAAGAGCTACACAAAATGCCTGGGCAGTCGAGATGGGCAGAAGCCCATACTGTCAAATTCCCAGTCTACTGGTTACCCTGCGCCTTGAAAACTGACTTTATTTCAGTATTTACAGTACCTATGAAGGTACTGTGCTAGGCTTGAGACATAGGAGGGAATATCAGGTTATGACCATGGAGATTGTTATGGCTTTTATCTGGATGTCCCCCAAAGCCTCAGGTGCTCATAGTCAGGGCTCATGGACCGTGGGGGGACTGTAGCTAAATGGGATGCTAAGAGTTGGGCCTGGTTGAAAGAGGGAAGTCACTGGTGCTATGACCTGGGAGGGTGTGTTTTCCTTCCTCATGATGTGAGCAGAACCTTACACTATGCCATTTCCAAGATGGAGTAAGAAAACACCCACTGAAACTTTTGAAACATGAGCCAAAGTAAACCTCTCCTCCTTTAAATTGTGAATGTCAGATATTTTGTCCCAGCAATGAGGAATGTGACACAGATGGAAGATAAGAGCCTTTGTTTATTGGCTGAAATTTTGTATCCAATAACAATCTATCTCATGATGGCTGGATGCCATCTTCTAGCACATCCACAGCAAATTTGCTTTTGAGTGATTCAAACTACACATATTTCTTCAACAGTTAACTGCTGAGTATTGAAGTGATATAAAGTAGTTCAGGCTGCCTCCACACTGTTCTTGACCTGAGCTAGTGGGCAGTTTGTGGGCCAGGCCACTGCCTAGAGGTCATCCTACAGTGCTGAATGATTACCCGGGTTTCTCTGCCTCTCATTTACCCTCCTCCTACCCCGTCCCTCATCTGTATTATCATCACTACCATTTATTGAAGACTTATTATAAGCCAAGCACTCTGTGTATCTCATTTCTTTTCAATGGGTGATTTCTCCAGAAGCAAGGTAAGCTTCCAGGTAGAAATGCTCAGGGAGATTGTGTGAAGCCTCAGAGTCATTTTTAATGTCTCAAACACAAAAATACCAGCCACTCAGGGAATCCTCGTGATGTGTCAGGGAGTGTTTAGCTCTACTAGTCCCTTGCTGTGATTATGGTGGAGTCCTGACTCTTTTCAAGATTTTGGAACGAGCTTGCTGAACACAAGGAGGTGTTCTAGAAACAGGATGGTCTTGGGAAAGACATAGCTTGCAAAAGATCTGTGGCTAGATATTTTCAGGAATGTCCAACCTGTGGCATGTGGGTTGGACACAACCAGATTATAATAAAAGTAGTTTTAAAGGAAGTTTTGTCACATGCATACATTAACTGTGTTGTATATTTTATATGAGGTCTAAGACAATTAAAGTTCACTCAGCACAGTCCAGGTGAGGCCATAGGCCACAGGAAAGACATACCTGCTTCACATAAACTACTGCATTTATCCATGAGGACATTAATAATAAGGTGGGACATCTTATTTCCATTTTAATGATGAGGATATACAACCTCAGATATATCAAGTAACTTGGCTTATCAAGGTTCAGTCCTGCCAGACCCTTTCATTAGACCCTGTTTGGTGACAGGGGTGATCCTTCAGGAGAACACCTGACATTTATCACAGGAAGGAAGAGTTTTGGTGGGTCCTGTGGAGATGGACTTGGTGAGCTCTGTCTCCATTTCCATGCAAAGACTGCCATTGTGTTGTTCTGCCTGCTTGGCAAGCTGGAGCCACCATAGCAGCTATTTCTAGACCACAACATCAGTGTCTTATACCCAAACCATATGTCTTTTGCTTCCCTTGTCTGGCCTCTCTCTGTGACTACAGAGGTGTGCAATATTTCCAGCTGCCCATGCACAGGCAATGGCATGCCTAGATGCCCAACCAGGTAGGAACAGCTGCTAATCTGTACTCACTTGCGGACTTACCTCTATATTATGTGGGCACAATTGCCCTAGCACTGCCCTGAAAGTGTAGTTGAGTTCATGGATCTGACTCAAAAGAGACTACAGAGGGGAAATTTTTATTGATATATTTTCTGTTAAAAAATTCTGATTGGCTCTCCTGAGATGTGTGTGATGCTTCCATGTAGTATCCCTCAAGAGATCTGTTATGCCCAGGCTTTATGTTCTGGCAGACAGAGGTCATAGCAGCAGCCTTCTTAGCTTTTTCCATGCCTGACTTCCCATACCTCGTATAGAACGATGACACCTTATTCTTGCTTACCTTCCTCACATTCTTTACTCTCCTTCTCTCCTCAATCTCATTTCCCTTGGATTGTAATCTCTGCTCTAATGAATTGTGGGTAAGCAAGCTTTTCCCAGGGTTCTGTTTTCTAGAGAACACAGGATAAGATGATAATAATAGTAATTCTTTCCTTTTATTGAGTGTTTCCCATGTGAGTTATAGCATCTCACTGAATTCTGGTACTATTTCTATGGAGCAGGTGTTGTTATTATCATCTCTATGTTAAAGGCTAGGAAGTTCAGGCTAAGAGAAATTAAGGAATACACTCACAGCCCTAGCATGAAAGTGGTAAGATGATGATTTAACCCAGCTCTTTAACCTTCTGAACTTGCAATCTTAAGCTACCTTTGAATAAAGTTGCCTTTACGATTGAGAAATATCAAAGAAACTCAAGTTTTGCATGAAGCCACTTGGAAGACACTCTGCAAGGATTTCCAGGAAGTCCAGAGACCCTCAGGGGAGAGCCTGAGATACTCACGTTGTAAACGCTGGGTTGTACTTTGCACCTCGGTAGTAAGAGTACAGGTTGAACATTCCAATCATGAAGGCCACAAATACCATGATGAAAATGACCATGAACTTGAAGATATCTTTCACAGTTCTCCCCAGAGAGATCTGCAGGGGTCCAAAGCTCTCATTGGCTGGCAGGATGTATGCAATTCGAGAAAAGCTCAGCACAACTGCTATTGCATAGAGTCCTTCCGATATGATCTGAGGGTCTGAAGGCCACCACTTGTCCCTGGCTAATAGAAAACAATCTGGGTTACTCACAGGGGAGGGGGTGGGATCTGCTGTGGAAGAGATATCAGTTAGGCATCTTTTGTGGTCTCCAACAACACATGACTTGCCATTTCTGCCTTACCCGTAGATTAACCCCAACACACAGAAACTATTGCCCTCTTTGAATGTGCTATTCTACCTGCCTGGAACTCCCCTCCTCACTTCGTTTCTAGTATCCTTTAAAACTGTGTTCTCATGTCACTTTTGCAAGACAGCTTCTGTCACTACCACAGGCTACGCAGGATCCCCATTCCCTCATGTGCACCCATGGTAGACTGTGAACATCCCTGTCATATAACTTGCCACACTGCTTGCTATTGTATCCCCTCAATGGTGTTTAAACTACACATACAGGATCTATGGCACCTCTTGGAGAAGCAGCCAAAGGAGGTGGTGGGCATGAGGTTGGGTTTGGAATCAGTCAAATTCACATGGGAACCAGGAATCTGAAGGATCTTTCTTGAGAAAACACTTTTGGGTTTTGTTTGTTAGGTAATGTGCCGATAAGTTTGTCTCTTGATTTAGCTAAGGCCCCCAGATGGCGACCGATTGGGAAGCTTTGTCATAATTCTGCTCCAGATAAGTAAGAATCCTAGGCCAGTCCTTAGCTGGAAAGACTGCATGTGGTCAGTGATGACTGCTGCCTTGTGTTAGCAGAGCAAACCTCCAAAGTGTTCCTTTTGCAGTTAATGGTATGAGGCATAGCATTTATTACTAATAATCTACCTACTATATTTTAGGACACTCAGAGAGTCTCAAGGAGGCTAGCATCTCTTTCTTAGGGAAAGTGTTGGGACTGCCTGGTTGTCACCACAACTGGGTCAGAGTATTACTGGAATGCTTAATGTTTTACAATGCTACAGACAGCCCCATAGCATGAAAATCACCCTGCTGAAAAAGTCAATAGTGTCACTGTTGAGAAATGCTAAGTGAGACTTAAATTGAGAAACATTGAGAAACCTAAATTAGCCCTTACACTTACATTAGCTGTAATTTTCACAACAACCCTGTAGAGTAGATATTATTATTGCCATTCTAGAGATTGGATTTGGGGTATGGGGTCTTTCTCAGAACTCAGTAAGTGCAGATAGCAAGAATATTACATAACATCTTGGAATCCAAGAGTGATGAAAGAGGAAAATTTTTATTCTTTATTTTCAAAGATAGACTTTGTCAAATATTTATAATAATCGCAGTAAGGAACCTTTAGTAAGGGAAGCCAGGCTACAGAATTTCATGTGGCACATTCTAAATTACATTTGGAAATATAATAACATTATAGACTCTATGTTCTCATCAAGACCATAACTCAAAAGTCCATGAAGGATAAGGACAAGAAAGGAGAATAAATTATGTATTTTCCAATATATCTGTCACTCTTTATTGATAAAGAATACATCTGAAATAGAATGTGGTTTCATCTACTAGGCACGTACCAAAAAGAATCTCATTTTTCTGCCACCTATAATTTACTATCTCCATCCTCAGCTATAATAACAGAATTCATTAAAATGGATCTTGCTGTTTTCAGATCCTAGTGACCTGGCCAGGACTTTCAGTGAAAAATATTTTATTTAGATGGGCTTGTAAGAGTGGTAACTGGTGTAGGACTAGCAGCACTGTGGTGATTCAGACAAAGGGAACTCCATCTTGGAGCTGAGAAAAATTGTCCTACTACAAACTGAAAATCTGGGTCTGCTTATAGTGCTGCTGAAGTTTGAAGGAACCAGTGTCTATCTGGCCACAAGAGGGCACTCTGCCCCTGTTTCTAAAGCATGAAGAGGAGACTTCCAAGGGCACGGGGTGAACCACAAAACCAAGGACAATAATGTGGTATGCTTTGGGTTGGGTGAGACTTAATACAGTTCTTCGGGAGTGGAAGTCACAGATGGACAATGCTGCAGACTTCATCGTGACATTAAGAAAAATATCTCTCATCTTTCCCTGATGAATCTTGAGCAATAACAGAAGTGAAAACATAAAAACTCATTTTGCTTTAAGAAAGTCTGAATTTGCTAACGGGGGAGAAAACAATTTCTTTCTTTCTTTTTCTTTTTCCAGTACCGGGGATCGAACTCACAACCACACATGCTTGCAAGGCAGGCACTTATGCTGCTGAGCTAAATCCCCAGCCCCAATAAGATGATTTCTAATACAAGTCTCCATTTCTTAATTCAGGTCTTGTTATCACATTTACACATAATATAATCTATACTGAAAGTGAGCAGCAACTGCAATTGTGCATAGCCAGTTCTCTATAGCTTATTACTGTACCCGATCACAAAGATTCTGTGGCCACAAAACTCACACAGTTTCTAACAGGAAAATTTGACACTCAAACCCTTCAAGATGTAGCAACTGCAATTAATGAATGCTTACAAAGTGTCCAGACAGTTTTTACTGGTTACAATAAACCACTACTCTGATTTTAGGCTCTCAAATCTCTTTCTCCACTCCATCCCCACCTTGCCAGCGTTTGCAGTGAGTTGCATGCCCAGTCCCCCACCTCTTTTAAAAATTTTCGAGTCAGGATCTCTGTAAATCTCTAAATTGCCTACGCTGGGCTCGAATTTGTAACTGTCCTGCCTCAGTCTCCCAGAGTGCTTTTGGATTACAGGTGTACACCACCATGCCTGGCTCATGCTTCTCTTTTACTACAGAAAGTATGTATAGCAAGAAAACGTTTGAGCTAGAAAATGACCCAAGAGGTAGTAATGATAATGTCTGTACTCATTTAGTGAGCATTTAGTATTTTCATGACATAGTTTTAAAACTCTTCACACGCACTATTTTATTATCTTCAAAACAAACTTTTTGATTAGGTTATTATTATCTCTGTTTTACAAAGAGAAAAATAGAGACTCAGAAAGGTTAAGTAAACAAGGTCTCACAGTAAACTACAAAACTAGAATTTGAAGTTTGGTGTTCCAAATTCCAAAGCTGGGAGATATAACTGCCAGGTCATTTGGCATGATTTTCAATCAGTCTCAGGTTAGGATTCCCTGATATACCCGGCAATACTCTACCTCTGGTAATATTATAAACCCTGCCAAGAAAACCTGTTTCTTCAGTTATTAAACGGGAACAAGTGAAATAGACTAGTTTTGCAGGGCTTTTGCAAAGACTGGAGTTTATGTGTGTAAACTGTCTACACTTCCTGGAAGCATAGTAAACCCTCAGTAAACGGATGCTATCTTATTCCTACTCAATTTATTGCCTCAAATTCTAGGCCTTTTGGCTTAAACGAATTAAGTTATCTTAAGAACCTATCATACCACAAGAAAAGAATTTGTAAACTGGAAAAGTAGGACTTTGTACAAAACAGAGGTATTCAATATAAAAGGAAAAATTTTTTTGGCATATACATTCCCTTTAGTCCTGAATCCATGTCAAGAAAAAAATTGTTTATAAAACAAAATCATAAGAACTATGGAAATCTCCCAATAGTCTTTCTAAAACAACAACAAAAAATACTTCTTAATACCCTCATCCCAAAGATATGCATTTCTAAGTCACTAGTTAATTGCACATTGAGAAGACTAAAGTTGGCCACGTCACAAATCACTAACTGTGACAGCAACTAAGGAAAACATCCCAACAGGAAGTCCCAGAAGCGGCTGGGGCAGAACACAACCAGGAGATGACCCCGCCGACTCACCGTAGGTGAAGTACGCCACTTCCGGCGGAAGTGACACGTTGTGCAGCGTGTCGTCCTGCACGTACTGATCCACGTACAGCTGGGCCTCGCTGGCCTTCAGGAAGGCCATGAACCGCGCGGTGAAGGAGGCCACGAAGATGGAGAGCATTCCAAAATCCAGGAGGTTCCACAGGTGCAGCACGTACTCCCGCGGCCCCTCCTCCCAGATTTCTTTGCATTCAGACCAGATCATTCCTGCGGGAGACACAGAGAAAGCCAAGCCCATTTTTCGCCACAGGAGAACACACGGGATCGGAGTACAGATGCAAATGTCAGTTCTTGGAAACAGAGGACGTTGATACGCAGAAGTAGACTGAAATGTGTCTAAAAAGACATTTAGAATCAGGGTAAACTCAAACTCTGAGAAGATAATTCATGTCTGTTCATGCAGACAGACGTCTCCAGAAGTCAGGAGAGAGTTCTCGCCCACTGATAGATTCTTGGAGACAATCTAGGTATGGTTGCTGGCGCTTATACACTTTAAGAATTGGAGGTTGTAATCATTCAGTTGTAAAGTGAATATAGGGAAGTTGAGGTTCAGGAATTTCTAAAGTCCCACATATGACCGAGACCCCCAATTTTCCTAATTTATAGGTTAGAATGCTTTCATACGTGTGTGTGCGACGGTTTCATTGAGCTTTAGTTCAGGGTTTGTTTGTTCGTGATGGTTTATTTTTAATTTTTAAATTTTTATTAATTTTTTTGAGACAGGGTCTTGCTATAGTGGTAGTGCAGGGTGGCCATGAACTCACTGTGTAGCTCAGGCTGGCCTCAGACTCATAGTGATCCTCTTGCCTCAGCTTCCCCAGTGCTAGTTTTAAAGCTGTGTGCCATCACACCTGGCCTAGTTTGAGATTATTATGTTTTTTCTTTTTATAGTTTATGGACATTTAAAGACAGGCCTTCATTGTTACATTGTAAGCAAGCAGTGCAAACAACATTTACTTGTTCCCCATCCCTGCAAACTAGTTTTCTGAAGTGGCCGGGCTTACTTTCATGCATGTCTTTCTAGGCCTACATTGTGTAGTATTAAAGCCACCATGCAAATATCCTCCAGTTTAGACCTTTAAAGCTGAATTCCTACCATTCAGAGATTGCTGTTAGTGCATGTTCCACCAGTGTCCAAAATTCCACATGTACTAAGCTATCCTACTTATGTCTTCTACCTTTGTATCCTGTCTGGTCCCATGTGTCATACCTGACTTTCATCCCCCCTTGCCCACTATTTTTGCTCCCAGTAGAGCTCATGGTTCTGTAGATCTCCTTTTGGTAGATTCTTCCATCAATCTTTCCCTTTCAGTTTTTCTTATGTAATAAAATACAGGTTATATCTGCAGACAACTGAAATGTATTCCTCATAACCCTGAGATAAATTTGAGGCCTCAAGCTAGAGTGTCAAACTTTCCTGTGGTCATCTACTATTTGCATCATCCGTACTCTAGTAGAGCCGGTGAAAACACTAGGCCCATATTTCAACCCTTTGCTTGTGTACCTTTCTCCTTTTTCACTTGACCTTCAACCCAAGCAGACTGATAGATTCCATATTATAATACAGCATTCTTGGAGGATCCAGCTGCTGAAAAAGCCTGGAATCAAAGATAATACTGGGGCAGACAATGATGTATGCTGTACCCTGGCCAGAGCATGACTGACTGACTTTATCACAGTCCACCTCAGAGCACATGAGCTGACTGTAATAGCAGCATATGAGGAGCCACCAAAAGCCTGAAGCTGTGGGGAATATCAGATTTTATCCCTCTACCTACAGGCAGTCTGACACTGGAGTATCAGCAACTTTCTAAAGCAGGGACTGAATATTTTTTTGTAGGTTTTAAGGTTGGGGTGCAATTTTAAGGAATCTCAAAAAATCTGGATAAAATGTTTAGGTTTGAGGCCATAATGTAATCAGCATAGGTTAGTACACAGAGATGGCATCAAGGTGACTACGGGGTGACATTAGCCATGTGTTAAAATTTTTATTGCCCTGGCTTCTTGCTGGAAGGATGGAGAGCTCTTGCCAGTAATGAAGCCCACCATTGTGGTGCAGTCCAAATCTCTCTCAGGTCATTCTCAGGGCAGGCCTGACACTGACTGCCTCCACTCTTTTGGGGCTTTTCTCAGGAATTGTTCTAATCAGAACTTTCCCTTTTCTGGCCAAAATGGCCCTCCAAATAAAAAGATTTAAAATGTTTTTCTAAGATGAAAAGTAATTTGAAAAACAGCTATTTAGAGAATAGCCATGGCTTGGTTTTCTGAAGCTCAAATTAGAGTACTAACAATGGTAAAAGATGAACCTCCCTTCTGCTTTTTTCCTTAGCAAAGCTGCTTCACAAGCATAGCCTACCAAAATTCATGTGATAATTCGATGAAGTCATAATTTTCTAAATACTGAGATATACTTTCATCCATGCCTGTTAAAACAAACATTTACAAAGTCTTATTAGAAGAACCATTACAGGCTGGAAAAAATGTTTGCAGAAGAATGTTTGTTGATTTTCTCTTCCCTTAAATTAAAATTCCTACTGTCTTACTGGAATGGCTTTTAGCTGAGCATTAGGACAATTACAAGCTTTCATTTATGATGGTTGACTTTAATTCAGTAAACCCTAGCTTCAAGTTCTAGCTTACCCTTATTGGCAGTAGACTTTGGATAAGTCCCTTGATTTGCTGTTTTATGTTACATTTTATGTTTGTAGATACTGTGCTTACAAAATGAGTGAAATAGCCCAATGAATCTGATACACAAATTATTTACAGAAGACTGACTTTTCTGATGGGTAGAGTAGTATCTTATGGGCATTGCAAATCGCTTCCTCCATGGTTAAATGCCTGCATCAGTCTTCCTAGATTTGAATATTAACTCACCTAGACTAATTTAAATTATTCCAAGGCCACAAGTAAAAGTAACAGGGACCCAAGGGTTTGAGCAGCAGGAATGCTTAGTGAAAAAAGAAATGTGTGAAATTAAGTAGTACAGTGAGTGAAATTAGGCCCTCTGCTTCCAAGGTGTCAAGGGCAGTTTAGGATTTTATATGGGAGCCAAGTCCTGGTCTTTAACCTTCAGCCTGTCAATCAGGGAAGTATTTAGAGCCCTGGGGCTCAAGGGATAAGGATGCTGCCCACTTTCTGCTTCTTTCAGCAAAATTCCTGGACTCAGGGATGGCTAGAGCTTGGAGAACAAGGTCACCAGTAATTAAAAATGCTGCCTGGCTGTGAGACAGGCTGGGATGCATCAGGAAGTCAAAGGAAAATGAGTAGGGTGATGCAGGTGGCTTCTGAGTAATGGTCTGCTGGCCAAGGAGATGAAGCCTGACTGCTGAAAAGGCCTTTTTTCACTACATCCCGGCCCACTGAGAGTATTCAAAAGGATTCTCTTCAGAATTCCATGAATATGCACATTCCTTAAATCGTCATTGTCCCTAGGGATTCCTCTACTCTGCACCAGGGCCTCCAATCTGCCTCTCTGTTCTTAGGACAACATCTCCCCTTTGGTTTAGGGTAGGGTGTTCTGCGAACTCACTACTCCTAGAAGCTCTCTATTCACAAGCTCTAACATCTAAACACTAGCTCAGTGGTAGGTCTTTTGCAAGAATCTGGACTTCATACTTCTAGGGTTCTTATGTTTCCTAGGTGGGAAGATAATATTAATAGTTTCAAAAATCTCCTAAGAAAGGTCGACTTCTTTCTTCTACTCCCCCCGCCCCATACTTTTGGGAATTGAACTCAGGGCCTTGCACTTGCCAGGCAGGTGCTGCACTGCTAAGCAACATCTCCAGCTCCTTTTCCTCTTTTCTAATTGCAGCGGTTAGCAATTTTGAGTAGTTTTAAGCCTGGTGTAAAGCACTTTACAGTGACTCTTTATAATAGTCTGATAGAAAGCTACTCTATCCCCACTTTCTAAATGAAAAACTTTAATGTACCAAGTGGCAAAGCCACATAAGCAGTCCAGACCCCTTGGTGTCCACCGTGCTATTCTACTGTACACTTTTCTAGGTACAGCCTTATTGTCATTGGTCGGGAACTCACCCACTGTTCAGATATGACTGAGTTGTTTCTCTGTTAAGCAGCATTCTGGGATACAAACAAAATAATGTCAACCCTAACAAGCTGGAGACAGATGTGTCCATAAACAGTAGTGCTAATGGTGAGAGATTTTGTAGAAAATGGCCAGGATGCTGACATGGGGATTAGAGGGTCAGTGTGATAGTTGGGATCTAGCAGCGCCCAGCACACTGTGTGTCTGTCAACTCAATGACAGTTTATGCAGGAGGTCACCCTTAGGGTGAGGAACTAGTGAGAGAGACCATCACCTAGGGTGAAGCTGGACAACTACGGGTTAACTGTGCAGCTAAGCTGCCTAGATTTATTGGTGTAGCCTAGCACTGTGAGGAGATTGATGGAGTTGACCCTGCCATGTAAGGGGTACAGCAGTGTGGAAATGTCAGTGGACCCGAGAGGACTTGGAAGGCCTGTGTGAAGTGCCTGCCTTACTTGATCACTGTTCATTTCTTTTTAATCATCGCTTTTGCCTCTTTAGCTTTGTTCTGTGCTGATTTTCAATGAAAAATTGCCCCACAGAATAGAAACAATATAAAAGTGAAAACAGGGCTTTGTTCTCAGCTCTCAAGTGAATGCTAGTCACTCGAGGGATGCTGGCAATAAAGACCCCTTTTTTCCTGCTCCATGCCTAAGTGGTTTGGTTTGCTTACTAGCACTTAGCTAGGTGAAGGGGGAGGGGCTGGCCAAGTACTTGTTCCAGGTGGTGGCCCTGAAAGTGTGAGAGAGGAGCCCTTTCTAAGAGACTGAAGTGCTCAGTAAGGGCCAAGGATCAGGAAGTGCTATAGGTGAGAATAGTGAAAGACTTCTTTAGGTCATGAAGAGGAGACCAGAATGCTCCCTGAGTACCTGGGAAGCCCACATGATAAGCAATGCCGCAAATGGTTGTGATAGAACTGTGGAGGGAAGGAAGAGGAGGAGGAGGACCAGCGGCGGCTGAAAAGATAAGAAGTATAAAATAAATAACCTTTATTTTGGGAATGCGGGGAGAGACACCCCAGACCTCCTGGGGCATGGCATCTCCACCCCGGGATGGCAATCTCTCCCTGGAACACTTGGAGTGAGGCACGTAAGTAGCCTCGGCCTGGGGTGGAACCTAAGGGGGCATTAGGGATGCACAGGTAGCCCATTGGTCTTAG